TTCACCAAAAAAAAAAAAGGTTGAGAAGTTAAGAGGGTTAATATGTTGTGGGGTTGTTAACCAATGTCATAAAACAACATGTGTACTACCGTTTCATGAGAAACTATTTGTTCTGTAAGCCTTCACCTGAAGTACGACAAAATATACATATATATTAAAAAAAAAAAAAAAGCTAGCCAGAAGCCATCTGGGATGCATCAATTGGTCCCAACCCACCTGCAGAAAAGGATAATGAAGAACACCAGAGACACAAGGAAAATATTGGCCCAAGAGACAGAAAGGGCCACAGAGCCAGAAACTTCATCAGCCTGAGACAGAAGAAATAGATGGTGCCCAACTACCATCAATGACTACCCTGACAGAGAACACAACAGAGAGTCCCAGAGGGAGGAGGAGAAAAGTGGGGTACGTAACTCAAATTCTAGTAAAAAGACCAGACTTAATGGTTTGACTGAGACTGGAGGGACCCCGAAAGATATGGCTCCCAGACTCTCTGGTAGCCCAAAAGTAAAACCATTCCCAAGGTCAACTCTTCAGACAAAGATTAGACTGGACTATGGGACATAAAATGATACTCGTGAAGAGTGTGCTTCTTAGCTTAAGTAAATACATGAGAATAAATGGACAGCTCTTGTCCAAGGACAGATGAGAAGGCAGAGAGGGTCAGGAGCTGGTTCAATAGACACGGGAAATTAGGTGTGGAAAGGAGAAGTGTGCTGTCATAGTTTAGGGAGAGCAATTAGGGTCACATAATAATGTATGTACAAATTTTTGTATGAGAGACTAACTTGAATTGTAAACTTTCACTTAAAACATTATTTAAAGAAAAAAACACACACAAATCCAAAGGTTTAAGACTTGGAATGAAATTGGAACCTAGTTTCTCTCGATCTCATAATCCTGTAACAGTCATTCATGGATAAAATATTTACTGAGCATCTGCTATGTATAAACAAAGCACTGAGCTAGGGGAAGAGAAAAGGGAGATGATTTGTAACATGATCCCACGGTCCTGAAGGGTTCTAGAACAACAGGAAATTGGTTATTGATTTATGAATCTATGTTTTAAGCATTAGGAGACCACAGAGAGGTATGAATAATAAGGAAGGTTTCACAAAGATGCTGTTTGACCTGAAAGGAGTTTTGTCAGGTGGAAAGACAGGAGAGAGACTTCTATTTTAGTACTACGAGAGAACAGTGAATAGTAAAATAACTAGCCAGTAAATGTGACAAAGACAAGAAAAGGCATTACCATAAGTTCTGTATATGGAATTAGCAAGTTACCACCGTATCAGCGAAAGAAAGCCATCCTGAGGTAAGTAGCAAAATTCACTTAAGCAACAGAATACTCAGAAAAGATGTATTCAGTATTGCGATATTCCTCAAGCTTCAGTCGTTATCATACTATTTTAATTATTTTTTGCATATCACCTAAATAATATTTTTCTTTAAATTGACTTTAAAAAAAAACGCTTTGTTCTAAGCAATGTCCTTGAAGTCACAGACATGATGGTGTGGTTTTCAAAGATGTTGAAATAAATACATAAACTATTAAAATTTTCAAAATTTGCCTATTATTAGAAAAACAGAAAGCAAGTATTGGCGAGAATCTGGAGAAACTAGAACCTTCATCCATTGCTGATGAAAAAAATGATATAGCCACTGTGGAAAATAGTTCACTGGTGCCTCAAAATGTTAAACATAAAATTACCATACGAACCAGAAATTCTACTCCTAGTTATACGCTCAAAAGACTCGAAAAGCAGGGACTCAAACAGATACTTGCACACCAATGATCACTGCAGCACTACTCACAATAGCCAAAAGGTTCAAACAATCCACGTGTCCATTAACAACAGATAAACAAAATGTGGTATATACATACAATGGAATATTATTTAGTCATAAAAAGAAATAAAGTTCTGATACACGCTATAACACTGATGAACCTGAAAACATTATGCTCAACAAAAGTACAAATATGTATTAACCGATTTACATATGATTTAAAGAAGAAAATAAAGATAACGAGTAATTTTTCATCCACAGATAACTATTATTAACATTTTGGTACATGATCCACTACTTTTTTTTTATGATAGACTCACTCATTTTTAAGAAAAATACAAATTGTGTCATATCATTTATGTTATTTTATAATCTATTTTTAAAACTTTGTATTATCACATACATGTTTGGATATATCATAATTTAATTAATCAATTCCCTAATGATTCAGGTTACCATTTTTTTTCTTATTTTTAAAACAATACTGCAAAGCACATCCTTTGCACATACGACCAATTATTTCCTCAGACTAAAATCTTACAAGTGTAAGTGCAGGGCTCAAACATTTAAAAATAACACACATACCAAACTGCAACTCTTCACATTACCTTTCCCTTGTATCACTTAGAAAGTCCCTTGCACACAGTAGTTGCTGGAATGGTAACTGTAGATAATAAGTTAAAAATGGTCCTATGAGGAGTCACTTAATTGCCACTTACAGATCCTTTTTCTAGGCTCTGAAACCAACGTAAATTACTGCAAGCAACATGGTGGGATGGAAAGAATGAGAAGACTTGAGTTAGTTCCAATTCTGTGTGTCCTCACCTAAGTCACTTTAGCCTTGCTTCCTGATAAATATATCCTGACTTCCCAAGGTTATTAAGAAAATTAAAGATATGTGAAAAAATTCTGTAAAATTAATCTAAAGGCTTATACGAATGTGTTATATTAATCCAGTGTCCTAAATTAAGTGGAACTTAAAGGGTACTAGACTACTTACCTAACAAAATCAACATCAAACCGTCCTAGCTGGTGGTCCCACTCTGATCTTGTTTTCCAATTTCAGGAAACAGACTCCTATCCGTTCTCCTTATACTTCAGTTTTCTGCCTGGCTCCACTGCCAGTGGAATGAGATCCCACCTCTAACCCCCTAGTACCTGCTACCTAAAATTCTGGGTACTGCCTGTTATCTCCTACCTTCCCAATGTGATCCATCAAAAACTTTCTCTGCCTTTTTGTGATGCTTACTCTCCTTGGGTCCTGTGATTACAGCCGTATTCTCTGGGTCGTCTGAACAACTAATTCTCAGTTACAACATCAACTATCAGCAACATCAACACTCAAAATTTACTGCTGCCACAGGTGACACAAAATTTTAATAAGTGTAGTAAACATGGAAACATGAACTACAGCCAGGTACTTCTCTCCTAGCTCCAAACAACCATTTCTGGCTCTATTATCCACTCACCCCTTCAGACACCTTATTAACTCATTAAATAGCACTACCAATCTCTTCCGACATGCCTAACCCCATCTTTGCTTCAAAGTTCTTTCCACGTAGAATGTTCTGGTCTCCAAACTTAATTTTTCCAAATCTCAATCAAAATAGTGCTTCTCCTGATTGTTCCTGATTATTGCATTTTGAGTGGTCTTTTCCTTGGAATTCTCATAGCTTTTTGCTGAATGTCTTTTATGGTACTTACTGTTATTCTATTTTGTAGTATGGTTAATTAATTTTTTCTTCTACTTTAGATCTGTTATTACTCAAATGTTAGCCCATAGCCACATGTGGCTAATGGGCACCTGAAATACAGCTAGTTCAAACTGAGATGTGCTATAAGTGTAAAACACACCACATTTGAAGACTTAGTTTTAAAAAGTACAATATTCCATTAAACTTTTGAATATTGATTACGTGTTGGAACGATACTATTCCTTACACTGGATTAAATAAAACGTATTATTAAAATTAATTTCATCAGTTTCACTTTTTTAATGTGGCTACCAGAGAATTCAAACTTACGTATTTCTATTAGACACTGCTGCTTTAGACTAGGGCCACTGTATAGCATTTAGCAGGTTATCTGCAAAAAAGCTATGGGGGACGGGGAGGACTATCCATTCAGGGGAGGAGAATCCATTGCTTCACTCAAAGAATCTGTCACCTCAGCAATCTGAACCCTGGGAGATGTGTGTTTCCAGAGGCGAATACCTTTTTCTAATTTGCTCAAAGGCATCATATTAGCTAGCAGTAGAGTTCTGAGATGGGAGACCATGTCTTACTCATGTTCTGTCTGTCAAAATCAAATCCATTGCCATCAAGTTAATTCTGACTCAGAGCGACCCTACAGAACACACTAGAGCTGTCCCTTAGGGTTTCCGAGGAGTGGCTGGTGGATTCAAACTGCTGCCTTTTCAGTTTGCAGCCAAGCTCTTAACCTCAGCGCCAATACGGCTCCTATCTGCCAATAAACCAGAAAAAACCAACCCCGCTGCGGTCAATTCCGATTCATAGCGACCCTACAGGAAAAGCAGAACTGCACCATAGTGTTTCCAAGGAGTGGCTGGTGGATTCAAACTGCCAACCTCTTGGTTAGCAGCTTGAGCTCTTAACCACGATGCCACCTAAACAAGTATTTGTTGAATGAATGAAGGAATGCATGAGTACCTAACTCTACTTACCTGCTTCAGAAATACTGCTTATCACACAATGATAACTATAACGCTTTTGCTGATTATAAAATATAGCTCTCACTACTGGCCACCACAAATCCAAGTCATTATTTAGCTTCAAGCCTCAAATCTTCATTTGTCTGTCTTCTAGCAATTATGGCACCAAATCAAAAATTAATTATCATTCCATGGTATGTTTCTCTTTCATTGCTTTATACTTCCAAATAAATATTTGACCATTCCCATTATATTGGTGGCACGGTGGTTAAAGCACTCAGCTGCTAACTGAAAGGTCGGTGGTTCAAACCCACCAGCTGCTCCACATGAGAAAGATGTGCTGGTCTGCTTCCATAAAGATCACAGCCTTGGGAATCCTATGGGGCAGTTCTACCCTGTCCTATAGGGTAACTATGAGTTGGAATTGACTCAACAGCAGTGGGTACTATACCATGAAAATACTTATTAAGGAATGTTTATATTTTAAAAGATCAGCATAAGTAATGCAACACTAAAGAATCCCTAATTCTTTCCCACCAACCTGACTGTATTTTCCTTCTTGTCTCAGAACACTTGACCTTGGGTGATTTCACTTCAGTGATGTCCAAGCTGACCATCTTTAGTTTTCCTTTAGGAAAGTCATCTGTACTACGTTGAACAATGTCTTCTTTCTCTTTTGTACCTTTCTGTGCAAATTCTTTGCTATCCTTCTTGGGACGTATTTCTGAATCTAACTTCTTAGATTTAAAGGACGTTTTTGCTTTCTGAATTCTTTCAGAATTCTCTAACTCATTTTTGCTTTCAGAATTCATTCGATTAATTTTCTTGGTTTCTTTCTTTTTCTCCTCAACTAGACTTTTTGAATCTATTCCTATTTTGGTCTGGGGTTTTTTCTTCTTCATTTTCTTTTGATTCAGGGCTTTGCTATCTTCATCAGAGAGATCTGAATCAGAATCTGAAAGGTCATAGTAACGTTTCAAGTCCTCTGTAGTACTGTGGTTGATGGGGCGCCCTCTTTTATCCACAGCATAATTCAACTTGAACTTTTTGTCATGAAACATGGCTCGAAATCTCTTGTCAATTTTGACTTTTTTATCCTTTTCTGGCATTTCCCAAAATCTTGGGTCCTTTGTAACCCGTTTAAACCGCTGGTCACTCATTATTTCTTGTTTGGATGCCATTTTTAAACCTCTGGACTGGGCAAACGCTTGAAGAAACCAAATGCTAAAAAATAAAATAAGTTTGACAATAATGAAGAGTTAGGAATATACATAAAATTTTTGAAAAAAATATTAATTCACAGTATAAGTTAACTGAAGGTAACAAGTCTAATTTCACTTCCCCTACTTGCTCTGGATTACATGTAGAAAAACAAAACCATGTCAAAATATCCTCTTTTCATTTGAACACATTTGGACAAATAAACATAAGGAAAAACCAAGCAGAATTCCAGAGCTTTATATTGGGGTAATTGATTAGCCAATGGCACTCATTTAGAATTTCTATATGTATTCCTGTTAGTGTTACAAATTAAAGGATAATGTAATTAAAAGACTTCCAAGCCTTACTTTGTCTCCCTTGCTTCTCTGCATTCTGGCCCTATTCTCACTGTTAATCCTTACCTCCTGCTACTCCCAAAAGCCTGCAGTTCTACAAAGCCAGACTCCTAACTACTTCATAAACAGATAAAATCAATTCAGGTTTAGCTCACAAAACTCCCTATTTAAATTCTACTAACCTTCAAGAACCAGGTAAAGTCTCTCTAGTTAGTATAAATCACTTTTTTCTATAATACCTTATGCTATAATAAATTATTATATTAAAATATATACACACACACACAAATTAGTACCGTTCCCTTAAAAAAAGTGACCAACGGTTTAGCATTTCTGGATTTAATTTTTAGTAAATGTCAAAACTAACTGACCATTAAAAGCAAATAGGGACCAATCAAAGACGGTAGTTATGCTATGTTTCCAGGCTTCAAAAACAAGGCTTGACTACAAGGCTGTACTTTTTTCTTAAAACGACGTTTTTTAATGCCTTAACTAAGTTTCAAAGATGCATTTACACACTTAAACAAAAATAATACTGGTATTAATAACGGGAGCTCTTAGCTTTAGATGTACTATTTAACCCTCCGAGACAGCCTTCCGACGTAGACACCATCTCATCCAACTAATAAAGGTAACATGTGTAAATATTTAGAATGAAGATCAGATATTCGAACAGAAGGGAAAGCGATCAGACTCAGTTCCTACGCCCGCCCTCATCTCCGTGGCCCACCCTCCTCTTCAACCCACGCGTCAGGTTGAACACTGAACGAGTGCTCCCTTCTCCTAAAGCTATTGGGCTGAGGCCCCTAGAGAAAGCGACCATTGAGGAGGATCAAGGAAGTCTGAAAAATGAGGCCAGAAAGGTCAGAAGGAAGCCCACAACTTACGATTCCGAAGCACACCCTGTCAGACACTGGTTCTTGCCCCTCCACCGTCCTCCTTACGCTCAACAATGCACTCTGATCTCGGGTGCCTTCAGTAAGCCTCACGTGAGACCCATACCCACAATCCTCCGCGTGGCGCCCGTCCGTAACGGCACGTGAGCTAGGCCAAACTACTTCCTCTATTTCTTCCGCGAAGATTTCTATGGTAGTCTCCGAAGCAGCGGTGGCGCATGCGCGCGATTGAAGCGCGCCGGCTAGAGCGTCGCAGGTAAGGATGCTGCGACTCAAGCCGCTTTGGTGTCTGCGGCGGCGGCCTCGGTTGGGGGGGTTCCTCGCGGAAAACCTCAGCAGCAGGGAGGTCGCCTCTGGCGTCTCTTCTCCGGACAGTGCCTCGCCTAGGGCTCTGAATATCTTCGACCGTGATTTGAAGAGGAAACAGAAGAACTGGGCGGCCCAGCAGCCCGAACCGATGAAGTATGACTACCTAAAGGAGGAGGTGAGATCGCAGGGGACCGGGGAAGGGCGGGGCCGAGCCCAGCCTTTGGATGCGGGAGCTCGGGCCGGGCCCTGAACCCACCTCGCTCTGTGACCTTGAGCAGCTGCCCTGCCTCACTGGGTTTCTTCTGTAACCACAGGAGGGGGGGCTCGGATATTCATAGGATTTTATTCATTCGTTCATTCATTCACTCAGCAAATATAGCTTGAATTACAGCTGTAACTGGGGCAAAGCAAGACGGCTGTCCTCATAAGGATTGCATTCTTAGTGGGGCGGGGGGAGAGGGTGGGATGGGGGCGCAGAGGGCGAAACCGTAGGCAAGAAACAAATTAACCAATACGGTATTTCAATTAGGTCAGGGAAATTAAAAAAAAAAAAAAAAGTTAAATGGTAGTGACTGTTGTGGTCAGGAATGACCCGCTGGACAGGAGACCTGATGAAGAATTTCGTAGTCAGGCTGAGATTTGGGGGATAAGCCTCTAGGTAGAGGGAAGAACAAGCGCAACGAGTCTGAGGCTAAAAGGGCCTTGTTGAGACCTCAGTGAAGCTGGAGCTTAGAGCTCTAGTGAGTGGGAGAGGAAGTCAGGAGGGCCCGAGTCATTAGGGCCTCATAATGTAAGGGCTTTATATGTTCTTCTCGGTGCTGTCCATCTAGTATGATAGCCGCTGGACACGTGGCAGTTGAAACACTTGAAATGTGACTAGTCCAATCGAGATGTGCTTCAGGTGTAAAATACATACTGGATTTCAGTGAGGAAAAAAAATCATGTAAAATATCTCAGTATTTTATATTGATTGCATGGTGAAATAACCAAATTTTCGATATATTGGGTTAAATAAAGTATATTCTCTAATTTCTCTTTTTACTTTCTTAAAAGTAACTACTAGAAAGTTCAAAACTACATGTATCGTTCTCATTGTATTTTTTAAAATTTTTATCGTGCATTAGGTGAAAATTTACAGAGAAAATTATTTTCGTTCCATGACTTTGGTTTCATTTTCCACAGTGTGTCAGCACTCCCCACATTTCCATCGTAGATTTCCTGTTTCTCTTTCTCCTGCTTTTTTACCCCTTCCTGCCTTCTCATCTTTGCTTTTGGGCATATGTTGCCTTTTCAATCTCTTATAATTGATTGTATTAATGAGCACGTCCCTCTCGAGTGTTATACTGTTTTTATTTTTTGAGCCTGTCTGTGGTTTGGTTGAGGAGTGGTCTCTGGGAGTGGTTTCAGTTTCAGTTTAGAAGGGTGTCTTAGAGCCATAGTCTTGGGGCTTCCTCCAGTCTCTGTCAGACCAATAAGTCTGGTCTTTTTTTGTGAATTTGATTTTTTGTTCTACAGTTTTCATCCTGCTGTATTCGGGACCCTCTGTTGTGATCCCACACAGCTGTCGGTAGTGCTGACTGGGCATCTCATCTAGTTCTTCTGGTATTGGGGGGGCATGTAGGCTCTATGGTTCATGTGGTCCATTAATCCTTTGGACCTGTTGCTCCCTTGAGTCTTCGGTTTTCTTCACTCTTCTTTGCTCTGGATGGCAAAAGACCAGTAGTTGTATCTTAGAGGGCTGCTCACAAGCTTTTTAGATCCCAGATGCTACTCGCCAAAGTAGGATGCAGAACTTGGTCTTTATGAAATATGTTGTGCCAATTGACATAGGTGTCCAAGGCTATGGTTCTTCACCTTTGAGCCTAGGAACTTTGTCCCGTGAGGTGTTTGGTTATGTCTAAGAAGTAGCCCTAACTGTGACCCCTGTGTGCTTTATTGTCTGTATTAATACGTAAGCAGCGCATTCAGTTATGTATAGAGAAATATCCACTACCAAACTTATATCTGCAGGTGAGTCAGGTGAGTGTGTTCCCTTAAACACCCTCTCACACCTTTTGGTATTTCTATGTATCCATTCATAAGTTAGTGTTTGTTACTATTGTTGCAGGATTGTCTGTGCTATAGTAATTATTGTTGCCCGCTGTTCTTAGTTTATCTCGGTGTCCTCCCATGCCTTGGTCATATTTTGCTGACATTCTCCATATCGTCTATTGCCTTTTCCTTGACTGGTAGTAACACGTGTCTTCTATTTGGTAATTTTCCCTCCCTCCCATCCCTGGTAACCATCAAGGAATTTTTTTTTTTTTCCTGTGTGTAAGCTTTTTCTTGTTTCTTTGAAATTGTGGTTTGATACAATATTTGTCCTTTTGTGATTGACTTATTTCACTCAGCATAATGTCCCCAAATTCATCCACATTGTGAAATATTTCACAAATTCGTCATTATCCTTTATCGTTGGATAGTATTCCAATGTGTGCATGCACCACAGTTTGTTAATCCATTCATCTGTTGGTGGGCACTTAGGTTGTTTCCATCTTTTGCTGTTGTGAATAATGCTGCAGGGAACATGAGTGTGCATATGTCTATTTGTGTAAATGGCTCTTATTTCTTTAGAGTATATACCTAGGAGTGGGATTGCTGGTCATAATGGTATTTCTGTTGCTAGCTTTTTAAGGAAGCGCCATACCGTTTTCCATAGTGGTTGTACCATTTTACATTCCCATCAGCAGTGTTTGAGAGTTCCAATCTCCCCACAACCTCTCCAACATTTGTTATTTTCTGTTTGTTTGTTTTTTAAATTAGTGCCAGTAATGTTGGGGTGAGATGGTGTAAAAACAACTTGGAGGCAATTTCTGACCTCCAGCCCCACACGGGGGAAGGAGAACCAAGATCAACAGCACAAGGCTGATTCCCATGAGGCAGAGGCCAGACAAGCCTACTCTCTCCGCCATCTCTATCAATTCTGACACCAACTGTCCCTCCCACAGCACTCTCTGCTGGGTTCAATAATTGATTGCAGTGGCCACACAGAACTCACAGACCATACTCACAATTATGGGGTTTATTAGGGAAGTAACAGTTACGGTTCAGGCTCAGGAACTCTGAAGATATAGTTCTTCCATCAAGATACCCTCTTCACAGCCATGCTCGCAGGCATGCCTCTTCCTGGCCCTCAGTCTCTGCCCAGAGGCACTCAGCTTTCTCTCTCTGTGGGCCGGGAAGCCCACCACACCATCTCCTACTGATCTCTCCTTCCTTGGTGGTGGTGGGCTCCTCCTTCTGCTCTGGAATTGGCTTGCTTTTAAGGCAAAACTGACCAGTCCCCTTGATAGGCCACAATTACCCTATCACACAGTCACCTTGGTGGGAGTTACAAGCCCTGCCTAGAAAGGCCACACACAAAAGTAATTAATCTACCACAGATGATATCTCATTATAGTTTTGATTTGCATCTCACTAATGGCCTAGCAGAGCCCTGGTGGCGCAGTGGTTAAGAGCTCAGGCTACTAACCAAAAATGTTGGCAGTTCTTATCCACCAGCCACTCCTTGGAAACCCCCTATGGGGCAGCTCTATTCTGTCCGATAGAGTTGCTATGAGTTGGAATCAACTCTACAGCAACGAGTTTGGTTGTTGTTTTTTTTTTTTTAATGGCTGGTGATCGCAAGCATATCTTTGTGTGCTTGTTAGCCGTCTGAGTGTCTTCTTTGGTGAAGTGTCTGTTCATATCCTTTGCTCATTTTTAATTGGATTGTGTGTCTTTTTGTTGTTGAGATGTTGAAGTATTCTCTAAATTTTTGAGATTACACCATTGTTGGATATATGGTAGCCAAAATTTTTTTCCCAGTCTGTAGGTTCTCTTTTTCACATGAAATATAAAGAATATTTTTATATATGTGCATATATAATGTATGTTGTTGCCTTGCATCGACAGCAGTGGGGTTTTTTTGGGGGGGAGTTATTCTGAATTAGAAAAGAAACTTGCTGTAGTCTTATAGAAAAAGGGATAAAGGCAAGTAGTTCTCTACCAGTTGAAACATGAGTAACCTATGGATAGTTGAATACTGTAAAGAGTGTTGCTTCTCTGTTAAACCTGCTCATCTTAACTTGTGTGTATCATTGCCTCTTGTTATCCTTCAGGTTGGAAGTCGAGTTGCAGACCGTGTATATGACATAGCCAGGTAAGTGATGGGTACTTAGTAAAATGTAGTCAACTTAAATGTTGAGAACTTGTTATCTGGAATGGCAAAATCTGGAGGAATTTATTACCCGGAGTGATAGACTCTTTTTCACGTCTGAGAGAGCAAACGTTTTTTTCTTTATTGTTGCCTAAAAAAACGAATGAATGCAAGCACAACTCATAGCTTCTCTCCAAGCCTGAATGACTGATCCTCTTGATTTGGCCAAAAGCCAGTAGTGGAAGAATTGTTCCAAAAACAGAGATAAAGGATTGGCTGCATATGAATATTTAAGATTTACTAAACCTAGCTTTAAATGTTTGACTAAAATTAGCAGTAGAGTCTCTTATCATCTAAGAGAAGGAAAGAGTCTACCTAGATTCACTCTCCAAGTAGGTTATATGAGACTTTGGCCATTTTATCTTAAAAATTGTTAGTGGTAACAAGGTCATATGAGTCAGATTTAAGAAAAGAACACTTTCATCAAGTGTTTTTGAAACCTTGATGGATTCATTGCTTGATATTAGACATAGTGAAAGATCTATGGACTGGAGTTGACAGCCATGTGGTAGATGCTCTGTGATGTTAGCAAATTTTTATGTTCTTAGGTTAAAAGACCATCCATT